AATAATTATTCAGTAGTTGCAATAAAGATAAAATGTTTAGTTCAGTGCTACGGTCAGTGTGCTGCACACAGTGGTGACGGACACGTTTGAAGAAGCAGACTGTGTAATATAATGTTTTCCTATTGATGGTGTCAACAACAAAATCAAAGTTAATCACCTGACAGAAAATCATTCAAACTTTAGCTGTCAGGCTGCCCTGTCACACTTCCTGGGTCAGATCCTAAAGGCCTGTTTCAGCAGATTTGTAGGTCAATGTCTAGTCGGTGGTTGGACGAATAGAAAAGCTGCTCTCATGTTGCATCAGTGGAGGGCGTCCGATCCAGGACTGCAGGGGAAGAGAAGATATTTCTCTTTTCTTTTAGTAAATGAGGATCAAGTGTTGCTATTTAAGTACTGAAAGAAGAAAACGAACTGACTCGAGATCAGATTTCAGCCAGTTTGTCACAACCAGGAAGGAGTTTAGGTGACTCCATCCTGGACCTACAGTATATAAAAGCACACGTGAACTCTGCAGTTTTAGGCTTGTGACATGCTTGAATGTTCTTCCCTATGTGAGGTAAAACGGTGCCACAATATTTGCATATCACGTCATCTTTATTAACACAATACTTAATTGCACATTGTTAAACTTTGCTCACACATCTCTTCTACAGCTTGGAGGCAAAGGTGATACTTTTGTGCAACACACAGTATTCAAGTATAACCATTTTTCTCAAACGAATGCTGGATAACAAGGATACACATACAAGAAAACAATGAGAATGTTTCTTCTGTACTGGCTTCACCAACCAATGGAATAAAACAAAAACATCCTGATTTCATTTCTCTTGAACTGAAACGTATTTGCAGCTACGTGCACATGCAGTATTAATCTCCATCGATACAAAAAGTAATAAAACTAGATATACAGACTAAAGTATAAATAGTATAAATAGGTTCTCTTTGTATAAATAGCTCCGTCGTCTTCAGTGTTGGTGTGACATGTCGAGACACTTGATGCCAGCAGAGATGAGCACGTGAAGCTGCACTGTAAATGCACACAGCTGCTGTCCACAGTGGGAAACAGCAGGCGGTCAGTTCACACACAGCACGTCAGAGGAGGAGGCGTCCGTGACGTCAGAGTTTTGGGACTGCTTCGGAAAAGGAGCTGCAGCGGAGTAGTTCTCTGAAAATGGGATAGGCACTGAGGAAAGTCGCAGGTCGTTTGGTCTCGGGAGTTCTTACTTCTGGAGAATAAACTGGTCGATGAACTCGTTCTGCTCTGACTCCACTTTGGACAAAGCTTCGTACTCTATACGATATCTGTGACAGAAAACAGCAGACAGGCATAAGAAAGGGATACCTGACTATCCTTTACTTACGCCTACCACACATTAGGACAGACCTGGGCCTCTGCAAGCATGTGTACGGAAATGTTTCTACCCTGCACAGAAAATATATATGTTCTCCACACAAGGCATTTATTTAGGCACACACAAGTACTATTATTGTTTTTTTAGGAGTGTTACAATTAAATAAACATTGGAATACAATATAAATGCAATATTGTATAACTGTGACAATAACAACAACATGGAGCGTGCTGGTCTGATGAAAGCTGGAAAGTTTATGCTAAATGTGTTTTTTTCCTATTGTGTTTCACATCCTGTAAACAAACTAAGGTTTTGGAGAATTGTCACATCCCTGATTATACACATGGGACACCACAGCCTACTGTCCTTTACCCACTCTTTTTTCCCTATATTACCTTTCAAGCTGCATCTTCTTCTCTGCTATGAGAGCCTGAAGCTGCTGCTGCTGGGCCTCTCTTTGCTTTGCTACAGACGTCAGCAGGTTTCTGGCTCCAATGGCCTGAAGGAGAATAACACAGAATCATACCTGATAAAAGTCTTATTCTCATGGTCACATATCATACAGACACACTCAGATGTTATAAAGCTTTAGTACACGAGCACTACAACTTCTTTTGCAAGAGCCAATGAAAAGTCTTCAAATACCGAGCTCACCTTCATCTTTTCTGTCTCTGCTTCTTTTGCCAGTTCATCCACGAGCTCAATCAGACCTCCCACTATCTTCTGAAACTGGCCAATTTCTGTAAAGAAGAACACGTGTCTGTACATGCAGGACCTGCTAATGTTAGGAGAGCAGGTTACACTAAATGTGATCTGTGCTTACTGTCCACAAACTCTTTGCACTCTTCTTTGAGCTCTGAAGTCTTCTGGCTGACATCAGGCTCCAACACTCGCAGCTTGTTGAGTTCATCAAAATAAAAGCCTGCCTCAGCTAACGGGTCTGTAGCCATGGCCACGGGGCCTGCCACAAAGGAGACAGAAAGAGTGATAGAGGAAGACGAAGAAGTTAAACATGTATAAAACATATAGCTTTGATATCAGCATCCAGAACAAGTCTTTTAACTGCTACTGTAGTTAGCAGGCTTTCCAGCCCGATATAAACTCTTACAGTACAGATGACTTCATCTGGCCCTCATTTACTAACACTGTGTTTGCATCGGGTTTCTTCAGCTTCCTCCCACAGAGACATGCAGTTAGTGGGGTTAGGTTAACTGAATCAGAATTGCCCATAGATGTGACTGTGAGTGCAAATGGCTGTCTGTCTCTCTGTGTTAGCCCTGTGACAGATCAGTGACATATAGAGTCTCACCCTATGGTGCCTAACAACAACAATATAATAATATTATTATATATTATATACATACGTTATAAAATATATTAGAATAATACTAAATATTGTCTTTTTGTTCATTATTTGCAGTTTTCCAAAACATCAAAAGTCACAAAATAGATCAAACTGCAGGTAAAGAAACCAACAAACTAAACTGGAAGGTCTGGTGAGGTCACTGTGACGTCTATAGTGCCACAGCCTATGTGTTGAGCCCCGTGTTGTGGTTGTTTCTGCTGCTGCTGATTGAAGGTTTCTGGGAGTTTAGTGTCATCATGTTTGTTCTACTGGCTAACAATTAAAGATATCGCGGCAGGGAAGCCCTCAGTTAGCCATGGTCACATGACGTCAGTGTTTCCAACCAGACGTCGGAGCCTTGTTTTTGACCGTATGTCTGGACTTCCAGTCACGTTTAGCCACTAACGGTAACATATGGTCCGTTCATGCAAAATGAACTTTTCGTTGAACTGTGGTCTTCAGTGACAGGCAGGTTCGAAACGAACATTTTACAAGCAGCTCTGTTCACGTCAAATTATCATTAAATAAACACGTACACATAACTACAGGCTTCCCCAGTGCAAGTCATCAGAATCACATTAACATCGGATACAATGGAAACTAACCTGAACTTATTTGAATGTACAAAAACGTTATAAACAGTCTGAGTAAGTAAAACAAAAGAAAGCTGTAGTATTACTCACTATTTCTTGCCAGTCGAAATCACTAACTGTGACCCAGGCTAACACTGTTAGCTAGCTTGCTAAAATTAGTTAGCTAATTCAAATAGCTAGTTAGCTAAGCTGCTCACTAACGCTAGTTGGACGCAACACATTAGCCCCGTTAAAGCTAATAGGACAACACGGTTTCATTAACCCCTAACATGATTTAAAAACGCTTGTACGTGTGATTTTACCTCTTCTAACCGCAGTCACAGATGGTTCTCTGTTGTTTGACTATGTGGCAGAGTAACAACCAACCAAAGCTCCTCCTCATCTTCTGGCTGCCAGGGAAACCAAACGCTCCTCCCTGTGTTTGTGTGTGTGTGTGTGTGTGCGTTTGTTTCCGTAACCTGGCTCATCCAGAGCCCTATAATATGAAGGCACTTCTGTATTTTTATAAAAGGTGCTTCCTACAGTCACAACAAAGAGTTAAAACTGAAAAACCAAGGTAAGACCTGTGGGAGGCGTGATAGCTGAATGAAATGGAACGGGACTGGCGTGTACACGAACATTCCAATCCAATGAAGGCAGTTTGTCTTGCAATACCTGTTACTGACGGACGAGGGCAGCATTGTGCTTTGGCCAGCGTAAACTCTAGTGATGGGATTTCCGGCTCGTTTTAGAGAACCGGTTCTTTCGGCTCGTCCCAATAAAAAGAGCCGGCTCTTTCGGCTCCCAACCGGCCTTTCATGTTGTTTTGTTGCTTTAATTAATTTATTATTAACAACAATATAAAATTATGCAAAAACACGTGGTTTTATTTATATATGTTTATATATAAATATATACAGTGGCCCCTAGAGACAAAGCACGTA